ATTCATGTCTCGTGACCTAAGTTAGCTAATTATGAGAAAATGCAAGCAGTTCCTTTTCCTGACATAAATATGTTATTGAACATCATTCCGAAATAGGGTGAAAAGGAAAACTTTTCGAGACAATTTTGTGTACAAATTCAGGTAATTTCCGCAAGTGTGTAACATCTGTATACGCGTTTTCCAACTTCAAACAGAACCGTTAGTTACCTGCGGCTAGCTGCCTTAGATTTGATCGATGTAACTTTTCTGTTGATGAGCCGATCGACGTCGAAATAGCAGATCTGATTGCTTGAATAATTAATGAATCGAGATGGATCCAATACAGCTACAAGATATTCTGCTGCGTTCGTGAGGTGAGATGCTAAAAGTTCGTCCATCTTAAAATTAACTGCCTGTGCGCAGGTGTTCACAGACCCGACGGACTAAATCTCAATTTTTATTACTCAAGGCTTATATACCGTCATTCAAATAACTTAACACATACCTTAAGTCATATCGAAACACTCGCTAATAAATACACATTGCCATTCAGAACATGCAGGAATAAAATATCTGCTCATCTTCGTAACGCAGATATGTTAATATTCTTGTCAATTTGTTCATTTACAAAGTGCTATAGTTGGTTTCTTTTAAATAAGATGAGAATTTCAAACAACTTTGTATAAGTTCGATGACGGTTGTTACGTGTGAAGTTAGTGGGAGAAATAACAATAACAATTGACGGCCTTTCATCCTTGCAGCCTCTATTAAGCAAAACTGGCCATGGAAACGGAGTTTAAACGCTTTGCTATTCTGTTAAAAATACATTTAAAATTTTCCTCATATTTATTTAATACCTTGCATAGACTTCTTGTGCAACGAAATTGTACCGTGAAAGGTAAATAGACAGAACTCTCGACAGCTATTGGTTGAAAGTAAACAGGAAGTTAACTGACGCTAATCTCATGCGTTTTACAGCTGGGAAACATTCAGTTTGTACAACCCCACGTCTGTATGACTTTGTGCCATGTCTTTCACTTGGATCTGCTTTCTGTTACTGCAGCTGTGTTCAACGATGCCCGAGATTGCTTGGTCACAAGGTTGGTTATTCAAGTATGTTCTTTGACGAAATGAAAACTGAGAAATCGATTCTTTCAAAAAAAAAAAAAGGCGCGATTGACAGAAAATAAACCAACGGTGTCATCGTTAATGTTTTTCCAATGTTTGCTGCAAGCTACAGATGGCGGCTTTTCAATTTCCTGATGGAAATAGCACCTTTTACAGTTGGAGGATGGTATATTTTAATAAGTTTAGAGAAGTTGTGGGTCCTTAGTGAACTAACTCATTTGCTCATTAAAGAAACATGACGGACTTTTCTCTGCCTTTCACCTCGGATAGTTTGAGGAGGCGTACTACAAACAAAATTTCGACTCTCACAAATAAAGGAATTTATCAAATTGGAA